GGTGGAGAATATTCTTCCCAGTGTGGGGCTGGGTTAAGACTAAGCTAGGCTGTGTACAATTCATGAAATTCCCGTTATTTCACGAATTCTTTGACGCTAAAGTGTTGACAAGTTTTTCGCGTTACGTAAGTGAAAAATTGACTCAACTCTGCAAGGAGAATCTCCCTCAAAATTTACTCTTAAAAGTCGAAGTTACAGTCCAAAATTCAAACGTTACTGTTATGTTTATTGGCGCACTGATAACCTTGTAAATAGCTCAAACGTACTGAAAACATTTTCATTCGTTTTTGTATATCTTCATCCTTTGTTCAGAACGATTTTACACACTTGGGTTTAAACTTTTAGTGGGGAACACGTACTACAGCGTACACAACGTATTCAACTTTAACCGCTGTACTATAAACTTGTGTGTTCGACCCTCGACGAACGCCTTCGATATAGCGTCACCCGCAGTAAACGGGAGGTGAATTGCATCAAAATGCAGGTAGGGGAGTGTTGGATAGCTACTGAAACCTTCCCAGTTTTGCACAAAGCAGTAAAAAGGCCCTTTTGCTGCAATGTGTGAAGCTAGGCCTATCGAGATGGGTTAAATCTGTGGGCAGCGCGCGAATCAAAAGCACCATCGATCAGTTTCACTTGATCTACTGATCTACCAAAACACCACACGTAACCTTGAACGAGGGCCTTGTACATTGACGTAGCAGTGCGGACTTGCGGCAGTAAACTGAGATACTCCCATATATTGTGGAAAATATTAAGCAGATCATGTTGAGCGCATCAGTAACTTGTATATATTTGACATATATGTTGTTTGGCTGATATCTCCTCAAGGAGCGTACGTTACCATACTACACATGCAACACAAAACCTTTTTTTTTTTAACCAACCAACAAAGAGACTAGGAGAAACACAAGACTTACTTCACATTAACAAAGTCCGCATGAGAGGCCAGCAGACTAGAAAGTCAAGCAAACCATAATGATGTATTTGATGATTATGGGGCTATTAGATCAGTAGTTCACTGTGCGTTTTGATTGGTTCTTTCTTTTGATCTGTTAGGGCGCTGATGCATAAATGGCATCACTTCTAACAAACTTTTGTTTATTTATCATGTAAAATAAATAGCTTCCATGATGCTGCAAGTCAGACCCCATTAAGAGAACAATAATGTATGAGATCAAAAAAGATGTCAAAATTTGCTAAGAACATGAGTGACACACTCAGTTGGTATTCCTGTTCTTTCCACATTTTGGCATCTCTGTAAAAAAATCAGCGACATGACTTCCTGGAATCTACTCACCCAATGCTGAGAATCGATGTGCTTAGAGTTCCAGAATACGAAAAGGAGCAAACCAAAACTGGCTCTAGTCAGCTCAGGGTTTTTGTTTCAAAGGGTGGAGTTTCTGAGGTTAAAGTGACAGCTGGTATTGTCTAAGAGATGTCTATTGGGAAGGTCAATATGGTTTGAGCTATTATTAGATTTAAGTGGCCCAAGATTTGAGTTAGAGAGAATCAGCTAGTATCAGTACTTATTAACATGATTGTGAGTATATATCTTAAAATGTGAAATTACATTCTACATGTAGCTGTAAAGTTCTTGTTTGGTTTAAACAAAATTGTTCACACATTATATTTGAAAACACAATTTTATGAATTAGTTTAATAATTTTATCACTAATTCCCTTACTTTCAACCACGGTCTCCCCCCCCTCCCTGTAAATATTTCACTTTGTTATCTATGATATTCATTGTATAAGATTGAATGGGGGAAGGGGTATTGAAATAAACTGCACTTTGATTCAACTTTCATTCCTAAATACTCTGTTCATCATGGCAACATGGAGGTAATGTATCAACAAATTTTGTTGCCAATAATTTGTAGCAAAGAACCTCCACATTTTCCTCTTGGCTTTGACCTTTTCGTATTACATGGAAATGATATTTAAATGATCAAAACTTTCCAACATTACTTCTTAAAGCTGTGCCTTGCCCTAACACAGTAGTTTAGTGAGTATTTTACACTGCTACTGAATTTTGAAGCTTGCTTGGCAACCCATTTCAGTATTAAGATGACAATTTCCAATTTTCAGCAAATGAAAGGCTGCAAAAGTGAGACAGCAATACCCTGCTGTGCTGGCATCTCTTTTGTCTGCAAAACTATTTGAGAATTCTGATTGCAGTGAAAAGAAACACTTTTAACCCTTATGACCTGATAATTGTTGTATTTTGGTTAGAAGCGCATCAAGTTACCAGTGACCTTGCTGAATGAGCACATCACATGCAAGTTATGCAACGGATATCTCATTGATGCAGCAACTATCACAGAATGTTTGCACACTTGTAAGTGGATTGAACTTGTTTGAATTATATATTTGAATATGACAGTATACCTCTGTGTAATCTTGAAAATGTGTAACTATCAATAATATTATTTTATAATCCTGTCCAGGTCCCAAAATATTATAATTGACTCCCCTTTCTAGCTACCATGATTGTAGCTCTTAGGTACAAATTATTCCATTGTTATTCTGTTGTCATAAGTAATTGTTCTTAGGAGTTGGAAGCTGAACATTTTGTATAGCTTTTTTTAACCATGGCATACTCAAAGCTTTTTAAAAGGTTGTGAGGGGGAGGATTGTATTTGCGACTTTTACATGACTCTAGCTCTGAAGGTCGAATACAAGCAGGATTAGAGATGTACAGTTTGTGGACAGTGGACAGTGGATGCACATGTCATTGGTCAAATGAGAATTGTTCACCAAGGTTGAAAATCCTTACAACCTAATTTGCAGACTTAGGTCCCTATGCTCTCATTAGATTTAAATTCAATCAAAGTTTCATTTTTCTCTCTCATAAAATTTAGTTTGCAAGAGCTGCTTGGTTAGACATATTGAACTTGTGAATCGATGTCCAACATGTGACAATCAAATCCATGAGTCGCAGCCACTTTACAACATCAGGTACTACCAGTTAATTTTTGATTTGTTGACATGGTTGTTTTACAAATGATGAGGAAAGACATTTTTTATGAAAGTTATATGAAGGATTGACAGATTATTAGCTCATATGGTAATGTCATTGAAAAAAAACTATGTTTCCTTTTAATTGTCAGAGTAAGATTTTCTTCAAGTTTCCTAATCCATAAAGTGGGTGTGTTAAATATCATATATAAGCACATTTGGTCATCTTTCATGACCAGATATACAACATATGTGTAACACAGGTCTATATTAGTTTTCCATGTACATCAAACAAGAAATATAAAAGAAAAAAATGAAGTCTGACCTGTTAAAAATTTTGGTTCAGGGAACTGGTTCTCTGTAACCAATTCATTTAATTTAAATTGTAAGTTTTGAATGTTTTAAAATATTTTATGGATCCAATAACTGAGTGTTTACCAGAGGTTTTGGATTCATCCAACCATTCCTTCATCTTGTGAAGTTTTTATTTTTAAAAACATATTATATTTTGAATGTCAATAAAATTAGGCTATAGGATATAACATTTTTTAATTACAGTTATACAGTTATTTATATTACCAAAACTAAAACATACCATTTTTCTTCAATGGTAGGCTTGACAGAACCATGCAAGACATTGTTTACAAGCTTCTTCCAAAAGTGGAGAAGGGTTTGTATACAAAATCACACAATTAGATTTAAATATTATAATATTCTTTGAATTTGTCATTATCCTCCAAGTTGTTGTGTGTTATTTTTGTTACAGAGGAAAAACGCAGAGAGCGCAAGTTTTATAAAGACAGAGGAATGCCTTATCCAGACCCTAAAGGTAAAGAATTGTGCTTTTGATCAGATGAATATTGATACATGCCTGTAAGCCTTACTAAATACTCACATTCTATCATTTGTCGCCCCAATGTAGGAGAATCATGTCAAATTCACTTTCATGAGTTAGGGAGAATATAGAATCCAAATGAGTGGTCAAGGTTGAAAGTTCTGCTTTATTATTCTACATCATGTAATTGTGCACTGGAGATGCAGATGTTGCCTACTCAGTATGGGTTTAAGTGAACTAGGCATGAGTGATTCAAATGGGTGTTATCAAGTGGTTATACACCTCATCAGTTAAGTATCATTTGCACATGTTTTCTTGCACAGATTGATTTCAACTTGTGTGCACTTCTGCCCAAAATGGTCATTTAATGTCAACAAAAGCTGTGCGCTAGCTTGCCTGGGTGTCACAGGTGACCAACCCATGTAGATGACAGTTAACTTTGCCTTTGTTCCAAGCTTCTAAGAGTTATGCCGCTCAAATTTCCTAGACTAGAGACTTCATGCACCTAGTATTACTATTGTAGAAAGATGTCAGCCAGTTTGCTGGAAACTGAGTAATGAGTTTGACTAAAAATGAAGTAACATGGACACCAGCTGCCTTTTTTTTGGAAAGATTTTCAGTTTTGTTTTTATGTTGTTTGTAGTTGCAGTCAGCCAAACACTTACAAGTACTGGCCCAAGACCATCAAAAGCAACAAAGAAAAACAAAGGAGCAGCACCTAAAACAAGTAAAACTACAAAAGTGAAAAGTTATCACAGAACAGATGAGCAAATCTCCCTTCAACTTGAGACATACCGGTCAGTTCAACCGAATTCAGGCAATAAATTTCTCTAAAACAAGAAAAAAATATTCCATTCTTCTTGTTTACGGCAGAAGCTTGACAAAGGGAGGAGAAAGATAAAAATGTTCTGTGAATGTTCTGCCGAGCCTGCCCCTTCCTTCTCAAACCTCATACCCCCATCCCTAAATCCAACCTCAAAAAAAAAAACAACTAAAAAGTAAAAGTGCTAATAATATCAAGTGTATGTACAAGTGCTAATATGAATTGTAACTTGTTGTAGGGATGGAAGTATGTGTAGCTCAACAGAAATAGAGGTGAGAATGTTTTAAATGATTGATTCATTACATCTACAGCACAGATGCTCAACAATACTGCTCTCCTTTCCTTCTCTAAACCTTCCTTCTCTTGGTTTGAATCTGAAAATGGATTATTAATAGATACTTTATAATTGTATCTACTTTGTTCTTCTTCTTTATAGTTGCTTTCAATGTGCAGGAATTTGAGGTCCCCCTGATTTGTTAATTATTGGTGAATATACTTTCTACTTTTTAGCCTCTACCAAAGAAATTTATCAGGTTGTCAACACAGGTCACTATTGGTTTGCTCCAGAAGTTTTTGGCTTGGAAACTACACTTGGACTCTGAAAGCACGGTGAGAAGAGTTCAGCTGTTTTAAGACATCAGAATTCTTTGTGTTGCTAAACTACTGGCATTTACTACGAGAACAGATAACAATAAAGACAGAGTCGGCTACATTTTACTTGCAATTGAAATTGTATCATGTATGCAGCTTTGTATCACGTATGCAACTTTGTAAATTTTGTTCTTTCAGGTGGGTATCCTTTATGATAAAACAGAAATGGGAAGAGATCTTACACTGAAGTACATCAGTGATAATCTCTGTCCTCCAAAGGTAATTGCTCGTCTGATTTTCTGATATCCACTAAATAACATACCGGGTGAAACAGTCATGGTACATGCATAGGTAAATGTACTTGGCTTTACCATCCAATCTTACAGGGCCTGCTTAGGGAATGATTCATCTCTACCCATTCTTCTCCTGTCCTGGTTCTAATGGCACTAAAATGTTGATGTCATGACCTTATATTTGCTAATCCTGCTACTAGCTCGTGAGTTTCTAATAAAATGTTCTTGTTTTAGGAACACTCTGCGCCTTTGATTCTACATTACAGAGCTATGGATGTAAGCTTCGCAAGATGACCGGTGTTGCAGAGTGAATTCCAAATTGATTGTTTTCTAATGTTTCAGTAACGTTGTAGTAAGACATGTCTTATGGAGCTTGATGACATTCCACAACAGGAAAAAAACAGCAAACGATGTTCTAGCCTGTGTCGCAGACAGTCTAAACCGCCGGTATTGACTATACCGGGGATTGTGTGACACGTCCGCTGGTATTGACTATACCGGGGATTGTGTGACACGTCCGCTGGTATAGACTATACCGGGGATTGTGTGACACGTCCCCGGCTGCAACGCAGGCTAACGATGTTCATATTTCATGAAATTTGAAAAAGTTTAAAAATCCAATGTTCTAGCCTATTATAATTATTATAGTTAGTGTTTCGCTTTATCGATCTTTATCGTTCTGTGTATTTTGTATTTATTCGTGATAAATTCAGTCAGCTTTAAAGGAAAACATATGATAAAGAAAATCAGTGAGATTATTGTAGTTCCATTTTAAATTTACGGAAAAGTTCCTACTAAAAGAAAACTTGTCTTTGATCCTTCGCTTGTGGTTGAGCGACAATATAACATGGTCCTTTCCGTTGTCCCGACTCTGCATCGGTGTTGCAACCTAACTGAGCTGACGGATGTTAGCACGTCAAGTCTTCTGTTTAGTTTGTGGTTTTAATCCAACCATCTCAAAGGTTATCGTTTCCTTTTCATTTTCCTTTTTTTCCTTTTCCTTTTCAAGTCGCCCTGATTGCTTAGCTGTTAACTGGCTAATGATCGGAAAGTCAGCCTTAAAACTTTTTACGGTTGCCAATTCACATTATTAAATCAGGAGATAAAACTAAATTATCTTGTAGGGAACGCAGTCGTAGTTAAACTAAAGAAAAATGATAGATCAGCTGACGGCGCAGAAAGCTACCTAACAACCCCCCTGACCCCAGCTCTCTTAGGTAGTCTCCTTCAGTGGTTTCTCTTCGGGCTTAACGAGAGGAGATCGCCCTATCTTCTTCCTAAGATCCTCAAGCAAGAGCCCATTGCTAATCGCTCTCAAAACCACAGTAACTTTGGAACCCTAGGTTCTGAGTTTTGTTTATACCATAAACTGAGTACAGGTGTATTTTGTGTCTGAGTGCTGCCCATGGTCTGTCACCACAATCATACTACTTGCGTCCTACAAAACGTGATGGTTTTGCTTTCAACAAGAAGACAAATTAATGATAATTTTATTTAGCAATAATTTCCATAAAATCCTCTACAATACAAAATATTAACAGCGTAAAAAACGATCCAAAATAACTCACTTTCGGCTCACAGCTACTCCTTTTTTTTTGTCAAAGCGTCTGGAAAACTATAAATAACGGAGTCAAATCTGAACAGATTCAAAGTCTAATAATCTGATAAGTAAAAGCATATCTAAAGAAGACAAATCAATAGATATTTTCGTTAGGTTCTAGTGAAACTGAGGAGATATCGCAAGATTTTCAAGTAATTTCCCACTTTTCTCGAATAACCACTCCCTTGTTAACTGCTCAATATTTAACCGTTTAAACACTGTAACTATTTTTGAGTGAGTTGGCAAAAAACTACAGTTAAGTAACCCATGTAGTAGTTCTATACCAGAAGGCGCTTCTCTAAAGTGTGGCAGTCTATTTTGAGAGTAAACACATCTTTGATCATGCTATTGCAATCAGGCTGAACACGTAATCGACATGAAAATTTGAGGACTTTTCCCATATCCCCAAGGGCAGACCTTTATTTTCAGCGAATGTGAGCTTAGCGCTTCTTCCTGAAAAGTTTGATCTCAGTTTTTTATATATATGTTAGACAGAGGATGGTTACACAATCGTGGCGGTTTTGATGGCCGAGGACTAATATTCAACAAATGATCCGTTTCGCATTTTGTGCATCATCAAAAAGACGGATTAACGAATAAATTCCACTATTCCGTGGCTTTTTTCTTTTACGGATCACAGACGACGCAGAAAAGTGACGAAAACATTAACGGCACACACTCTTCAATTCACTCTAAGCGCCCGCGGTCACTGAAGACGTGCGGAGTACGTGTAACCCTCAGCGGTTGGAAAGTGTCGTCTTTACTGGAGATGAATCCGGGTAAGGCTAGTTTTTGTATCCACACTCTTATCCCAATAGAATCTCGGTAGAATAAAGTTGAATCTAGCGACCAATTGACACTTCCACGCCTGGGTAAGACGAGGCAAGAGAGAGGATAACCCCATGTTTTTGCCTCTAAAATATTTCAGCTGAAATTATTCGAAGTTCATAGATTTTTCGAGTTCATTAATTAAAATTTCATTAATCTCTCAATTTCAACCATTAATATTCCATTCTGAGTTACTATCTCTGTTTTTCTTCTCTCACTGAACTATTCTATTGTCTCCTTCCAGAAAATTGTTTTAATATCGTCAAAACACTGACAAGTGACAGACAAGTGAACAATGGACAGATTACCTACAAAAGCGTTTAATTACACACTTTCTTCGCAAAGTGAATACTTACAACATTTGATAGATAATTCTAGCGGTTTTAGAAGTAGCTAGGGATAGGGGTTATGATGAATTGTGAAGCATACAGTGACGAAAACTTGTCCATCGAGGAAGAACTCTAGGCCTCCTCTTACAGACACAGCGGTCAAACGTCTGCCATGTGCGAACGCAAGAGAGGTTAGGTGGTGAGGTTCCTTGGCATGCTTTCAGGCTGTTAGAGCTTTGTTGGAGCTTTGTTAGAGCTAGTTCTGAACGGCCACACAATCGAGTACGTCGCGGTTTTTGATAAAGCTCAAAACAAAATTATAAATCAGCACAAAACCCGTAATGAAATAATCTTTGTTTACGAAAAGTTTTCAATTTCCCTGTTTCCTTCTACAAATTTCATGAACTTTTCAACTGTTTACGCAAACTTTGTGACAGCGGTTGTTTCTCGTGATTAGCTTTAAAATTCTGCGCGGGAAATTAGCGCACGGCAGGCCTTAATTTATCCCCTCGTGCATGCCCCACGTTTGACCGTTGTTTTTCTCTAACTCCGTATACAGATATTCAATTATTGACTGCTCCCCATAATTTCTGGCGTTTTTACGATAGTCGTACAAAAAGAGCAAGAGATCACTCTTGTTGAGTCGGAAAACACATCTCTCCACATAGAAAAATGGTAGTTTCACACGCAGATTCAAATTGAGAAACAATAGTCAACTCAGACTCTATTTTGTACGCCAATGTTCTCACACAAGTCTATGATTTACACACGCTCCTAACTTGTTTCTAAAAGACAATTCCAAACACAAAAACAAAGTACTATTCCAAAAACACCCCTCGACGTGCCTATTAACAGCTTAAAACACTAGCTTAAGAACACAAGCATAAAAATCTTTACAAAATTGCCTCATACATCGGTGATAAAGATCACTGATTACTATACGAGAAGAGACGATATCGATCTAATTCTTTGGCAAACAAAATGTTGAAAGAGTATCACTAACATACTCGGCTGCAGCTCATGTGCTCCTTTTTTTTTTTTTCTGTTCTTATTACACTTTGCCGTCATCTTTAATATATTACTCCACAGACGCACGGCAAAATAGATCTACGTTTTAAATATAGATTGAGTAGCGTAGCTAATCAGATTGAAGCAACTATGATATATCGCTGGTAGATTACTACTTACAGGTATTATTCCCAGGTTCAGATTGAGAACTATACTACTGTTTTCTTGCGAGCTAGAAATCGTTTTGCATGACCTTCATCAATGCCAGACATGCTTGCTCATATAAGGAATTAAAACAAAATCCACGATTCGTTGACTGATCCACCGAGAAGCAAGCCTGTCTACATCAGTTTAACCCTTCGATGCACTTCCACAGGCTCTTTCGGACAAACGGTTTAAGTTTTCCACCTCTGGCAGTCTATCTTGTTTACAGAGTACAACAGCAGTATTACTCAAACACTTGTTTCATTGCGAGGTTTATCGGGCGCGGGAGGCTTCAGGTGCGGAATGGGTACAAACACCGCAGTTTTTGGCATATCTGGGGCCCACTCTTTCTTTGCGGGCTTAGGTCGCTCTTCTCGCCATGAAGACATAGATGACCGCGGAGTTCGCTCTTTTGGTGTTTCGCCTGGACTTGATAGCACGTCTTTGACATAATTTGTTCGAGATTGCGATCGCTGTTCGGCTCCTGCTCGGTTTGACCGGCGTGATGGTCTAGTTTCAATACCAAGATTATGATGTATGTCACGCGCAATTTGATAAGGATTACGTGATCTTCGGCGAGTGACATGTATCCCGTTTGGCTTATCACGAGAGCCTCGTGGAGCGTTTTGAGACCTAACTCCATTTTTATCAATTGGGACGTCTTTTCTTGTATCAGCGGTTGTTGAATTTTCACCGGATGGTAATGCCTCAGGTTGCTCACGCGGTCCTTCTCCGGCATATTGATCGTGCGTTCTTTCAACAGTTTCTGGTGATGGTCCGTAAGTGTTGTCACGTGCCATGTTCTGTTCGCCTGCCTTCTGCGATGAATCACTATGGGCAAGGTTTTGATCGAGTGGAACTGGGAGGTGGTCGTAAGCTCGATCTACCAGCGGCTGGTCACGTGGTCCCTCATATGGCTCTGGTGACTTACTGGGGTCTAAAGGTATACGACTATTTTCAAGTGGTCTCTGCGGTTGATCATGTGACCTTTGCCCCACATTCTCTTGAGACACTGGATAGTTCTCATATGCCCTGGGAGAAGATGCCAAGTCACGTGCCATCTGATACAGATCATGCACCTTGTGGGCGGGACTTTGATCTCGTGCAAGGTGAAAGAAATTCTGGCCTTGGGTCTGACTCGGTATTTGATTGACATTAAAAGTTCTCGGATCTACATTCTGATCCTCAGGTATTTTGTAATGATCAGGTGATACCTGTAACTGATTGTGAGGGTTTTGACCGACGTGTTGCCCTCGTGGCCCTTGATATTGATCGTGCCCCGGGTGTAATACATAGTGATCCCTTCTGCTCGTGGGAAGAGGAAGTATTTGGTAATGGTCACGAGGTTTTTCCGAAAGCGCGCGTGGTTCGTACGGAATGTGATACCGTTCCCGCACTACAACATGATCACGTGGGATGTCCCGCGGGATGCTACTGGTCGTGGGTTCGGGAATCGCATAGTGAGTGAGAAGATCTTGAGTGTCAGATGCTGATGTGGGGACTGCTTGAATGCCAGGGAGTGGACTTCGATTTCTCTTGGACGGAAGTGGGGGCGCTACGTCAGAGCCTTGAGAAGAGGACCCAGGGACAGGCGGTCTTCTCTTCATAGGCGGAATTTCTATTGGTACCGACACTTCAGACGCTGAACAAGACGTGTTTGCATTGCGTGACACTGGTTCCACACAGACTTGTTCGTCACGCACTGATGATCGACACTCAGATGGAGCAGCATTAGAGGCAGTGTCCGTAGGCAGCTGAACGCTTGATTCCACGGAACTTGCCGTCCCCTCAGGTGGAGCAAGAGGTGCACGAGGTCCTTCTTGCGAAATAGGAGGAAGACAGATGTTTTCACTGTAGCTGTGTCGATGTCCCGGGGGATGCTTAAGAAGCCGCCCTCGAGGTTTGTGCGGTTGAGGAAGAGGAGCAGAGATACATGACTGCTTATCTGACACCGAAGGCGCTTTGTCAGTTAGAGCATCGGTTTCTTTTGCTGTCACATTATTTTTCTTTTCGATAGTAATGACTGCGGAATACGGCAAGGACACATTTGACTGGGAATCATCGTTACCTTGTGAGAGTGGATTCTTAGCACCGTGAATTTCACCCCCAGCGAATTCTACCGCAGCTCCGTTTCCTGTTTCAGCTGCCGTTTTCGCCGATGAAGTTTCATCAGAGGAGCCAGCTTGAGGACTTTCTTCTTGTAATTGATAATCCTTTTTAGGTAAGCACTGAGATTTGAAACAATACTTGTTCCAGAAAAGCCGACTCTTTTCCTTTCTGTAACAATAAAACAAGAAGACAAGGAATCCCAAAATAATCAGAGCCAATGCAAACACGCAACTCAGTACAATGTACAAGGTCCGGGAATGTTGGTAACGAATCATGAAGACTCCTCCGACCACACTGACGATAATGAACAATAAAATAACACAGCTTCCCCTCAATTGATCAAGCATTTCGTGCTTATCTGGCAAAGCGGATTTGTCCACGTTATCACCAACCCCATCCGGATTTGCCAAAGGTTCTTGTTGAATAACGAGCGCGTTTTCTTCTGCTGTGATATCTGCATCAGGTTCTTGACTGTTTTGCGGTGTACCTATCGTTTCATATGCATTTTTGATCAGATTGTACACGCGAAGAAATACGAACAAATCTATAAGCACAATCAAACAAGCGGGACCCACGAATCCTCCATAGAATGGATGTCGCCTCAACCAACAACTGCAGAGCAAGGGGACAGGATCTTGGTAAATAAAAAATCATTCTTACCGACACTAAGCTTTTAAAGTAGTTGAGACTGTAACAAAGGCAACAGTAATTTAAATATACGTATTTTTTTTTAATACATCGTGTTTCCTCTTATACCCTAATTCAGTACTGTATACGAACATAGTCTTGGATATTACAAAAGAAAAAAGAAGAAAGGAAAAAAATTAACAAAACAAAGTTGCTTTGGGAGAGTGAGTGTAATCGAATTAGGTCGGTGCGGCAATCTGTCTAGCACTCATAAAAATTAGCAAGTGACACGACCCTTTCTGTCAAATTTTGGTTTCTTGGTAATAAACTGATTAAATGTTAGTTCTTTCGGGAGGGAGAAAATACTAATCAGGTAGCAATTCTCCAATTTGTGTAAACTCAGATACGGGCTAGGGTTAGATCTTTGGCGTCAACGAACGACATAGGTCCTAGAGAACTTACATGTTTCGGAGCCTTGCATTCACTAAGAGAACAAACTATCCGAAAATTCTTCTCCAAATATCATAGCACCCAAGAAGAAAGGAAATTGATATTAAATAAACAAAGAGAGAAAGTAACAAACAAACAAACAACAAGAAGAAACCAAGTGGCAATAGAATTGACCATGTTCTTTGTAGTCTACAATTGACACCTGCCAGTCTTAGGAGAGCAGAGTACAATACAAGAAAGAATTTGAGAAGATTTCATTTTTGAATTAAATCAAGTACTGTTGGCAATTTTAACTCTGGGATACTTACTAGTCTTCCACATTGTAGTTGTCAAGGTTACCGGCGGTAGTGATTCCACAAATGATGAGGGGTATACCTGGCCAGAAAAAACAAAAACAAAACAAAACGAGACAAAAAACATAGAGAGTGATGAGTAACCAGAGTGTAATGAAGAATCAAATCGGTGAAGGAGTGTTTTATACAAGTAAAGATCCAAAATTTCCAGGCGACGTTTTCACAATTTCCTTTGCCTGTTTTCTTTGATTGTTGTGTCTCCTTTGGGAAAAAGAAACCTCCATAACAACATCACTCAGAAAAACCAGGCTAGGTTTCGGTGACTCATTTCGTGTGACAGCCGAAAAACAGTTCACCGAAATTACAGGAAGAATATTACTTTAACGCTATGACATAAGTTTGGGGAATTTGGAATTGGATCAACCAATAATCCCCTTGTTCATATTTGTCTTTATTCTCAACACGTATCCACTTGATATTGTATTGATAATATAAGGAGAAATTCTGTCTTGGTCACCCATGGAAGATAAAGGGTTAGTTAATACAATAAAAGCAATAAGAAGGGATCATACCCCAGCTTATCATATAATATCTGAGCACAGGGTTGTATTCCTCTGGCTCAACAGCAGTTCTTATCAGTCTGTGCAGACAAACTCCACTACAGCCGATCCACAGTAAGGAGCTAAGTAGAAAATAATGCAGCATAATTCCAACAGAACGGCACACCAGTACATTGGTCACGTGATTGATTCCCGTCACAAACACCACAATAGGGACAATGAGAGCTAGGCACTGGTTCATCAACATGGCTGCGTCATCTCTGTCGTAACGCAGATCTCTGTGAATAAAAAATAAAGAAGATAGTTTTAAAACACCGGGCTAACCACTCATCGCTTATGGAACACAAAACCGTACAGCGCACACAAAACCATCAGTCACGCTGGCTACTTGGCGACAGTGAATGAAGTTCGCAATTTTCGACGTCCTCCTGGGCCTCTCAGGTTCTCCCACAATTCCTACCGAATATGTTCGGAGGGCTGAGTCAGAAGCCATTTACTTCCAATTTGGAAATTGCTACAACAAAATCCGAAGTGGAAAAGGGTCGCATTTTTATGTATTTGGGTGTATACGTAACGTATCATTCCAAGAATATTAGAACTTAAGAAAGATAAAATGAAAAAAAAACCAAAAGCGTTTTCGATTGCGTGAGATAAAACCAAAACCAAAGCGGTCACAAACAGCCGATCAGAAAAAATGAAAATATAACAAAGAGCCAATGAGAGATTGAACTCCAACATGGGAAAGGGCCTGCCTGTCGGGATAGCTTTCAGTTTTGTTTCTTACTTGTTGCAAATGTTGTCTAGTTTTCTATCCAATACGAGACCACTTTCGACATTCCTTTGAAGTTCACTTTATTTGTTGCACGCTGTTCGATTTGAACCTCGGCAAGAATATCATTATGCCATGTCACCAGCAGAGAGAGGAAAATCTTACCGTATCAATGCGTACGCTATCAGCGTAGCTAAGAGTAGTAGCACAGAGATTCCAGCACCAACGAACACAACGATCTCTATAGAAAATGGCACTGCATTCCATTCATCATCTTCACTTGTTGCACTGACTACAGGTTTCTTTATAGTCTACAAGAAGAGTACAGACACCCTTTGTGAACAAACCACCCTTCACATAATTTAGCATGCTATAAAATATGAGGAAAAACAAAGACGGTCAAATCACCATCATGACAGCAAAGTAGTCCCTGCTAGAAAGCTGCGAACACTTTGTGATTGTATAGTTGCCTCGAGATGAGACCTGGTTACAGTCAGCATTCTTTTCCCAACTTCCAAGTCCATCTACAAAACAACCAAATAACATCAGTTGCACACATGATATTCACATAAAGTTTCACAGCTGGATAACAACACTTACCATTGCCACCATGATCCCAATAAACTGGTGTGGGTTCCTCACCACTCTGTGAATTTGATGAAAATATCTAGGGTCAACTTTAAGAGAACACTTTTGAAAAAAGTTTACGTCGAGTGTTCAAAGTATTCCGGTATTGCCCTTGCTTTAACAGGGCTTGACATCTCCACTGGCCCGGTAGCCCGAGACTAGTAAAAATTTGTTTGGGCTAGTAAAAAACCCCGTTTAATAGCCCTCTGGCTAGTAGAAAAATTGAAAGAAATTACATTTAATTAGTTTACTTGAAGCTCACAGTTGATTAAAAAAATCAAGAAAGTTTAAATTGTAATGATAATAACAATAAAGAAGGCATAAATCTTTCATCTTCTTCAGCGTCTTTTTTTTGTCGTGTTTCGATCGTAAACATCGCTATATCCCAGACTCTGTGCTTAATGGTCAATGTCTTCCCCAGTCTTCTCCCTACCAATGTTGCGATACTTTGCACATCGCCACACGATCGCCGGGTAAGGTAACGAATCTGATCCAACCGACGCGTCGGCCGACACGTTGGCCGGACCTTATAGAAAGACTCTGCCTCGCTGGTACTTTCGCTTGGCTCCAAACTTCGACTCGTCGATCTCCACTGTTTTTCCTACACCTCCGATCTTCATGTCAGCGTTCATAATTTTCGTCGAACATACCGTTCGTAAGTCGCTCAGCGCACGGATCACTGTAGGCTTTGAAAGGCTAGTCAGTCTGGCGATGTTACTTCCAGAAGCCTTGATAGCCCACAGGAACATTAGATGAAGCCACGTACTCAGCGGGATGTTGGAACCTTCGAAAAACCAGGTTCGAAAAGCCAGGTTCGACAGCGGCTGTTTGTACAGCATCGGTGGTGTGTCGGTAGTGTGTCGGCCGACGCGTCGGTTGGATCAGAT